GAGAGAGAGAGAGAGAGAGAGAGAGAGAGAGAGAGAGAGAGAGAGAGAGAGAGAGAGAGAGAGAGAGAGAGAGAGAGAAGAGGAGACATCTTTCGTCTCAGCTTATCGTTTAGATGGTCATGAGTTGCGCTTCTGGAGAAACCGATGCTAGCGGTAGGGGTGGAAGATCAATGGCCCGTGCCTCTTTGTCCTTTCACATCAGTTTGACTCATTGGTCCATGGCATAGACCGGCATGTCATCCAAGTAAGTCGTACTACCGTCTCTCCCCTAACACAGTGCTCCCTCATCATTACTGTGTCAGATCCGAGAACCAGCTCCTACACATGCATGATGAGGGTGCGTTGTGTTCGGGGGGACACGGTAGCCTATTACATTGCCATGGACAGCTGGGTAAATTGCTGTGTATGGACGCGAACATAGGTTTCTCGCTCCACTACTGCACACATGCACAAAAGACCAAAAGTATGGCATTGTATCTTCCCATGTTCTAGCGAAAGATTCATTCTCGTTTTGCACATTTCGTGAGTAGTGGAACGAGGCCCATAGATCTGCAAAGGGCCCGCTTGCATGTGGGGATCGGCCAGGCGGCTTCGGGCGAGAGGGCAATCGCGAGATGCTGCGCTCTCCAGCCGTTGAGAACAGGGGAGAAAAGAAAAAAACAAAAAGGAGAAATGAAAGAGAAAGTCGAGGGCGATTATGATCCAAAGGGACCTATAACAGGTGCGCGGATGTGATGAGATCAGAATACCCGGGAGGAAGTTCCACTAGTAGCAAAGACGATTGGATTAAACGCCGGAATCTGGACGTGTTTGTGGAGAGATGCAGAGTTCGCGATTGATCTGCTTTTGGGCATCTCTGCATAGAACACGTCCAGGTGCAGACACTTAATCCAATATTCTTTGCTAGTTGGACCTCGGCCGAGGTAGTGAGACGCAATGCCTGCTCCGCCGCGTAGCTGTTTTAAGAAACAAACCTCTCTCCCACCCTCTGTCCCCCCATACCCTCCGCCCTGGTAAAAAAAAAAAAAAGAAATCATTTAACTCTGCCCCCAGCTGTTCTGTGAGCAGCATCTAGCATCCAATCTGTTCGTAGAAAAGTAACAAATAGGGCCACGTACGTATCTCTACAGTCAGCTTGGAATCCCTGCCTTTCCCGGGCCTTACTATGTGCGCAGTCCGTTTTCCCAGGCCTTACTCTCTACACAGGCCGACTTCCACTCGGGTCACACAGACGTGCTTTACTGGAGTTTTCTCCAGGCAATATTGTTTGCAGTTGAATTGCTGGCTCGAGGATGGCTCGAAGCGTCATCCACTGCACAGCGTATGAAAGCTCGGCCCGGTCAGTGGGTAAGGCACCAACGGGCCTAGCTGAGTTGGTACACCCATGAACTCTTGAAATGCAGACCCAAGTTCGAGTCCAGATGTAATCAGATGAACAGAATAAAATAAAATAATTCTAGAAAAGAAAAAAGGTGGGTAAAGCCGCCGAAGAAAAAGGAAAAAAGGGAAAAGGGAAAAAATAAATTTCTCTCGGCCTTTTGGCCAAGTTCAAGTGTAGTATCTGTTCTGATCGTTTTTTTTTTTTTTTTTTTTTTTTTTTTTTTTTTTTTATATGTGTACTTCGGATAATAAAAAACTCATGGAAAAAGTTTTAAAGAATAATAAAGTGTGTACTTCGAATAATAGAAAACTCATGAAAAAAGTTTTTACAAAAAAAAAAAAATTTTTTTTTTTTTTTTTTTTTTTTTTTTTTTTTTTTTTTTTTTTTTTTTTTTTTTAATAATTCTCATCAGTTAATAATTCCATCAGACCACAACGAAAAAAGAAGAAAAAGAAAAAAATGAAAATGTTGGTGAAGACGCCACATAGCAGCAGTGAAGACGCCAAATAGTAACAAGACCGAAATGGAAGGATCTCGAATGCACGCTCATGTAGTTATTTCCTGTTTTGGTATGTTTCTTCCATTTTCGAAATGGAAGGATCTCGAATGCGCGCGCATGTAGTTATTTCCTATTTTGGTTTGTTTCTTCCATTTCTTCTGCTGGGAGTGGGTCATGGAAGGGTGGGTTAGTTCGATGTCTTTGTTGGTGGACCAAAGCCCGAACCCTGAATACCTGAACATCAGACCGAGAGTCTGGTAGGGATCCCACTGGAAACATGCTGTGTGGTGTGGCTTGAGCATCAGACCCTGAATGGCCAACCCACAACAAACGGCATACAGATGGTTAGGGATCCCAATGGAAACATGCTGTGAGAATTAATTCCATGTTCTGTGCCTCTGCTGTTGGGCGTAGAGATCTGTCGAGATCCCAATGGAAAAATGCTGCTATTTTCTGCTCAGCAGTTGATTGAGGGTGGCTGGCAGCCACTGATCGGCCAAACCTTTTTTTTTTTTTTTTTTTTTTTCCCCGGCAACATGTCAAACCTATTGAAGAGTTCTGAAAATTTGCCAGCCATATGTCTTGATGTGGGTGCATGACATATATGGCCAACTGCCCTTTCTCACCTGATCATATCAGAGTCAGCCTGTAGGGGGCTTGGATGGCTACTACTGCAAGCTCCGGCTCTATCAACTTGGATCTGGTAAAAAAGAAAAAAAGAAAAAAAAAAAAGGACCCAGTAGTCAAATGATTTTGGCAGGGGCAGGGTATGGCTGGCCTGCAGCCCCGTGCGGCAGTCCCCCCTTTCCCCCCCCCCCTACTGGCACGGACGTCCAGGGCAGTTCGTCCGAGATGTCCGCACGGACCTCCCGATCCAGACCCGCATGTCCGGACCCGGTGCAAGTTTATGCTTCCTTGTGTTGTTTGTGTTGAAACATTGCATATAATACTTTCGTTTTTCAGATTAAAAAAAAAGCTTTTCCCTTTAATTTCTATGGACGACTAAATCCACGGACGCGCGGCACAGGTCCGTACTCGTTGGTAGCAGAGTCCTTTTTATTTTTTTGTTTCTTTTAACGCAACAGGTAGTCCTCAAAATATTGACTTGCACGGATCTGAGTGAACTTGTGCAAATTTCTCTGCCAGTGGTATTGTCCACATGTGCGTATCATTACTTAGCTTTCCATTCACACGATTACAATCCACTCGTGTTGTGCACACTGCCCAAGTGTGCAGGTTTGGTTCATCGGCTTGAGGGGCGGATGATTATATACGTGCGTCTGGCTGACAATATCCGGTGCCGAGTCCCACTTTCCCGAATTCTCACTTTCTGACCGTAGATTAGGAAGATCGACCGCCAGAAATGAAGAATAGGTGCATACGAATGCGGACGAGGTTGTGCTGATGTGCCACGATTACTGTCCAAAGGCCGCTGAGGGAGGTGTCTCCAGTTGTATGAATCGGACGGGTAATGAGGCTGAGGATATAGCCCGGCTGCGCCAAATGCGCTACTTATGGTGGGAGTGAGGCTTGCTCCCCCTACTGATCAATGCACCTTATTGGTACTTGCTGGAGCAGGCGGCCATGTTGAGATTGATGAAGTGCTGGCTGAGGGTGATGATGCAGCAGCCCCTGACGAGCCTGATGCTCGAAAGTGCGCATTGCTGCGATCGGGAATGCCTTCACCTTTCGGATATTGACGGCCTTCGTAGAACGATTCTGTTGGGCAATCTCTGATACCTGCCCTGGTGGCATTAAGAAGAAGAATGAGAAGGGACCTGCTCACGTTATTGGGTCCCGGACTCCCGGTCCCGTTCCCGATCGGATCCCGATCCCTGAGCAGGCTGTCCCCCAGGGGGCCCGAGACTCAACTGTGGGATTAGGATCTGGCCCCGTGCTGGGGACTCCTTGTACTCTGATCCTGCGCTTGATGGCTGAAGTGGCTGAGGTGGYCTGTTTCATTCTCTGTGAATCGGGGTGTCTGTGCGCTGAACGCTCTCGCCCTMGGACCGGCCCTTCACCTGCAGCCTCTGGGAGCCTGACTCAACTCTGGGATTAGGATCTGGCCCGTGCTGGGGAATCCTACTCTGATCCTGCGCTTGATGGCTGAAGTGGCTGAGGTGGCTCTGCAATTCTCTGTGAATCTGGGTGTCTTTGCGCTGAATGCTCTCGCCCTCGGACCAGCCTTTCACCTTGTACTCCGCCGCTCCCGTCTGCTGCCTCGCCTTCCGCACGCTCTCTGCTTACTAAATGTTGATGGAAGCGTTCTCCGTGTCCGACTTGCCTCGCTTCTCCTTCCCTCTTCCCATCTTCACCGTGACGCAGTCGTGGACAGTTAGTTATCTTCGGTATGATATTACATTTGCAGCGCCTATGCCAACCGGTGTAGGGAGTTACAATGTCTACCCGCCAACGTTCCCCCCTTGGAGACTGAATAACTAGTCCATCGTCCACTTGAAATGTGGCAGCGGGGTGCATATCCAGTTTTACATTCATTGGCTTTCGGGCGTGTGCTAGCGAATTTGAGGGGGTGCATTTGCAGGACCTCCCCGAACATGCTGTTAACAGCGCCTTTCAAGAACTACAGCTCGGAGGGCAGCACAGCTCGGAGGGCAAGAGGTCAATTACCCACAAAAAAAAAAAAAAAAAAAAAAAAAAAAAACTGCCACTTCCTTGGATTGAGTTACCCACTGCGGGGAATATATATGGCTCTGCCACTTTTTCGTTTTTTTAGCAGACCCTGACTTCGCATTACATGAACATAATCCTTTTTTCTTCCTTTCTGTCGCTTTTAACCAATAGAACTATCAATTATTTATTTTTTATTTGTGATAAAACGATAAGTACAATATCAATCTATCTGTGTACCCTAGAAAACGACATATATAGAAACGAACGAAATGAGTTGTCGCAGTTGTGAGAGGTCCGAGAGCCACCAAGTAATAGAACAGTAAGATCCACGTTTCCCTGGGGTGCCGTCCCTCTAGCAAAAAGGATTGGATTAAGGGCCCGAATCTGGATGGGTTTTAAGCAGAGATGCAGAAGAGCAGATCAATCGCGATTACCTGCACCTGGCTGTCGGACCTCTCCCAATTGCTACAACTCGTTTCGTTCGTTCATATATATGTCGTTTTCTGGGGTACATAGATAGATCGATATTGTACTGATCGTTTTATCACAAATAAAAAAAAAGATAATTGATAGTGCTGTTACTATTATTATAGATAAGCAAACTATATGAATGAATGATACATAAGATAACAGTATATATTGTAAAAAAAGAATGTACAATATCCTTTCTAATAAGGGAAGATGGAAGATAGATGCTTTTGGGCCACCGAGTTTCACCAATCACGCTGGCTAATTAGTCTGGCTTCTAGGAAGGCACCTATATATCATCTCACCGCAGTATGTGTACATGACCGCACTGAAAACGCACTTGGTACTTTTCCAATAGCAGTTGGTTAGTACCTTTCCAATAGCTGTTTCCACGCCAGAACTGCCAACAATGAGAAGCCACGTTCAAGGGAGAAGAAAAGGGAAAAACGAAGAACAAGTATTCCAAGCAATGAAAAGCCACGTCGGGATTCCAATGAGCGAGCGAGAACTAGAGGAAGTTCAAAATTTTACTCTTACGGTCTCGCTTCACCACTGTGGAAATGAAAAAGAACGAGTGCATGTTCCCGCAGAGAGTGGCAGATGCATCCCAGTTACTATGAATGGAAACGGATGCATCTTGCCACTCTCTGCGGGAACAGGCACTCGCATATTTTTCATATCGACAGTGGTGTGGCGAGGCCCAATCTCTGAAGTGTGGCCACACCATGGTAATCACGAGTCAAAAGAAGGAAAAGCAGGGAAGGAAATTCAGTGCCCATGCTCCTGATAGATAGAAGAGAAATTGATCGTTGACATTAAAATAATATGTCGTCCCCCCCCCCCCCCCCCCCTCCCCCTCCAGAAGAAACTTCACGGCGGGTTATTATTAAAAAAAAGAAAAGGAAAACTCATCTTAATACAAGACTAGAATCCTGACATGTGACGATCCTAAGCAAGTTGTCAGCAGTTTCTAATGATCTATTCTGACAAATCATCACTGACATGTTGTGGAGCTTCCTGTTTTGCCAGTTTTATTTGTTGGCGTTTCCTTGACTCAGCAATCATAGCCTGAACCCTCTAAGTCGTTGATGCTTAAACGCCATCCATCCTCAGGCTGAGCCTGAACCCTCTACAGTCGTTGATGGCTAACACGGGTGGATTATCACTTACCGTATCATCTCGGTTACGGGACTTTGGATGAGTCAATGAAACTCCAACGATAAAAATGTCAGGGTTAACCGGGGTGGGGGCTAAGCATCAACGACTGCCCTCAAGGTACCTGTGACGAAAATCAAAGCAGACTATCACGCGCCCAACACCGGACGGAAAGTTCTGTAGATTGCGGGTTCAAACTTCAAACCCATCACACACATATAGATTAAATATTATGTATACATATAGATTGATCTAAGATTCTTAACACATGACTTGTCAAGAGATTTCAAGTGATTCATTGCGACCAATCGTGTGTTGTGTGAAGTTCCTGTTTTCTATTTCCGATAGCCCATCTATGGTTGAAACCTAATGGGTAGAATTGTGAGGTACACGGCCTTGATGAGCAAGTTCTGAAATAAAAAGTTTAAAGTTGTTGAGAAAGAAAGAAAATAAAAAGAAATCCGACTGGGTGCATTAAACTGCATTTATCTTAGAATTGTTATGGTTATTATTATTTTATTATTATTGTTTGTTGTTATTATTAATTCAGTAACTACTACTGTTATTATTATTGTTAGCCCAAAAAAAATAAAAAATAAAAAAATTGTTAGATGAATATATGGTTGTATCCACGTTGCCCTGGGTCAGGACAGTTGGTGGACGGATGAGACCAGGCGAGACTCCTGAGGAATCCCTTGCTAGGCTGATATCTCGGGAACTCGGGCTGGAGATAGAATCGAGGCGCCCTCGGCTTTTGGGTGTACACTCTCTTGCATGGGAGAAGAGAGCTCAGGCGCCAGCAGAGAACGGGACTTGCGATTTGTCACTGGTCTACACCCTCGTGCTTCAGGAAGACGAGTGTTCGAAGATTTGTTTGGATCAGAAAGAATACAGCGACTCCAGGTAATGTGGAACAAGCGCATCATAAAGTCCCAAGTTTGCAAGGTACTGTGTGTCAAAACATGGCATAAGTGAATGTATCATCCGAACGTCGAAATCAACAACAAAGCTCCATTTACAAAGCAATCGATCTTTCGACATAAACAATAAAAAACTCTCTGTAAAGCAATCAGTCGGTCTAAAGACTCTAAACGAACAACAAACCTCTGTATGCAGAGCAATGGAAACTCTCCATAGAAAGCAATCGCTTCTTTCTAAACCAACAAAAAAAGCTCTCTATATGAACTTACGAAGTAATCAATTATTCTAAATCAAGGAGTGACAGAAGAATATATCGTTCTGAAAGAAAAAAAAAAACAAGTTCGTCAGACAAACGAGTCAATCTCTATGAAAAGTTTAAAACGAATCAAAGCTCAACACCCTGCCGGTTCTGTGCCCAGGTTGAGATCTGGGAATCCCTCCCACAACCTTTTCACACTTACTAACCCTGAGGCTTGCAGCGTTTTTTTTTTTTTTTGATGGGGGG